CCTGCCGGATTCATACATAACAACGAATGCTACAAGTACATTGGTTCTGATTTCCTACTACATTAACTACGGATGTTAACAATATTATAAGAAATTAATTTTTCTTTTTAAAATGGAATATACAATAGAATAAACTAGCCGGTTCTAAGCGGCTTAAAGTTTGTGTAGGACTTTATCATTTATCAAAATCAATAGGTTTGTAATTTCATGATCGCAATTTATTTCGTCTTTCTCTGACTACAGCCTAACGGATACAAAATAATTAAAAAATGGATTTAATCAACTAAGATAGATTCGATAATAAAAATTAAAAAATTGAAATCAATACTACACATTCATATACATTTTATAAGACTAGAATTTAAAGTGATTAAACTAATAAACAATATTCGTTTAGGTCAAGCTTATAATTCTAATAACAACGCCGTCTTTGCGTGTTATTGAATGGATGACAAAAAACCATATCAGTTTCAAAGAGGAAGTTGGCATATTGTAATAAGGAGCAATAAAATAAAGCTGGAATGATGGTCTCTATAACAAAAACCCTTTGCTCAGTGGTGTTTTTTAGAAAAGAATTATTTATTATGAACGTCCTCGGAAATAAATTATTCATCGATAACAGTTAGCACAGTCTTTTGTTAGTAAAATGTACAGTTAATTTGAAAATTACATTACTTCAGACACCCTCATTGTTTAAAGAAGGCAAAGAATTCATTTAAATTTTAATCCGACACAAATGTTAAATCTTTAACAAAATGAATATAAATAGTATTCACAATTTGCTTATCACTGGTCGGTCTTCTTCAGGGTATACCAGGATAAACTGTTTGGAAAAAAGTAATCTGCCACCAACGTGATGATTTAAAAAAATATTAGAGCTTTGTTGTTACCTATATTATTATTTTATATGGAAAAGAAGTGTTAATATTTACAATGATCATTTTGTTATAGATTTAAAGAATAACATTGTAGGTATATAACAGTATAGGTAATTGAGCCATCTGTCCAGTGTCATCAGCCTCACATCATCGATCTATACAATACTCACCCCCCATGCGTTACAAATCTCCTGTACTGAGTGCATTCAGTTTTGTAGTATATCGTCGCTGCGCCTGCAAAAGTCGCTATGTGATTTTTCTTAATTTTTGGTTTATTATATAATTTTCACCCTTATATCATTACACGTAAGGTGTAAAAACAGTTTTGTGATAAAACTACTAATAACGAAATTATAAAAAATAGTTATGTGGTGTTCATACATTTAATGTTCCTAAAAAATCACTAAGTACCTAAAATCACATAACTGTAGAAATTCACTATTCAATCATGTTCATCAACTGCGCCCGTTATGTATCAGCTTGACACATAACGATATTTTTGTACGCGATTGGACAAGTTTCAGTTCAGATCGAACGTATGTCAGTTTGACACATAGCGATATTTTTGTACGCGATTGGACGAGATTGTTTTTACGAGTTGAGATCACTACAAGTAAGTAAATCAATAATTTGTGTCATATTATTTTTTATATTAACTTAAGGTTGAGTTAATTTTGGGTTGCTTTGGTTTAGTTGGTGAATGGATTAAAACTGTAATAAACTGGTACTGGTTACCATAATTGTTTTAAGTTTACACTTGTAGCTTTGCTTGTGTTAGTAACTAAACTTCCCACCATGGGGTTTACTGAGATTAACATATTTTTTTAATCTTATTTATTAATCATAATAACGGAGTGCCTTGTTTTCTTAGCGCCTCATACTTTTAGTATTATAATAATTTCAAGTATAAAAACAAACATAAGGCCTTTTACTTAACGCTAATTGCTTAACTAAACCTTTATTTTTGCTCTTTTAGGATTACAACAAGAATGCCTAGGTTTTGGACAAGTAAACGTCTTGTATCGTTATGCAAAGATCCACAACAGTCGATACGTGAACTGGCTTTAGAGCTGGAAGAAGAATCGTCAATATTATATCCACCTACTACAACTGGCCAAAAGGAGAACTTATGTGAAATACAGATTATGCTATTAATACTTTTGCCGATTTCACTAATAATATTACGACAGCAAGTCAGGAATCAATCAAAGGAATAACAGGTGCATCCCAAAGTGTAGTAACCACAACAATTATTATAGGATCATTTGAATCTTGCTTAGAACTACAAACTAACTATGAGCCATATTATATTACCACATGGCTCATAGTTAGTTTGTAGATTCTTCTGATGTAATGCTTTACCTGAAAGATAAAACTGGTTGTTTTGAACCTATCATTGAAAAGGAAAATAATAATAGTACCATTAAGGAAGATGTCGTTGTTCTGGAGGAAAAAAGAAAGAGAAAGAAAATCAATAGGTGAGGCTTTTAGGGAAGAATTATTCAGGTCATAAAGTTACGAAAGTCGACGAGAATACAGTAATAGAAGAAGTGTAGGTAGAGTAATGTAGACCAATGAGAGTTAAAACCTTATGGACATGGAGCTGCTAAAAAAACGGACAGAAGCTTTAGTTGTGCTGCTATTAATGAAGAAACACGGACCGATACTTTTCGATACTTTTGGCAATTACCCTCATGGCAAGCAAAAAAGTCTTACTTAAATGGTGAGTCCATTTAAGTAAGACTGCCAGACTCGAAACATCATACGCCGACGAAAAACATCTAACGATGCACAAAAAAAAATGTAGAATTTGATTGCTATTGCTAGCATGAATGGTGTGAGGGTACGTGTTTGTAAAGAACTTTTTCTTGCAAAGGTTGTTTAAAGAAAGATGTATTACAGCTATGGATTCGATCTAACATAGATTTAAGAGAGAATAGTGAAAATAAGATTGTCCGCAATAACGATACAGTTGCTAATCATTTTACAAACACAAATCTTAAGTCAGAGTCTGTGAAAAAGTGGCTTGATGATATACCGAAAGTACCAAGTCATTATAGTCGAGCAAATAGTACCAGGACATACATTGAGGAATCATTCGAATCTTTTACTCACATGTATTGTACTTTATTTATATGACCTGGTGCCAGGAAAATAATGTATACACAGTACAGAGAAAAAAAAATACAGAGATTTTGAAAGAACAGAATTTTTCTACTATAAGGCGTGGTAGAAAAGTTGGTGATGCAACTGTGACAGATTTAAGAGGACATATTTATGTCAATGGTGAAGTGCAATATAAATTACGCCATTCCGATGACTGGGGAGACTTTGCCACGAAGACGAATAAACACATCGCTTATCACGGAACCAGCAGGGCTGTACAACGGTCCATTGAAAATCGATGCCACTAAATATAAACATTTACAAAGCCTAAAACATCGTTGCATGCATCGTGATTACCACCCATTCTTTGATAATTTACCTCGTTAAGATAATTGATCTCATTCTGAAATCAAAGTACAAAAATTGTAATTAGGTACGTAAAGTGATTAGGTTTGACTGATTTTAAGACTAATGTTTGTTTTGTTTTGTATTGTTTTTGTATTAATTAAAAAAAATATGATCTATTTCTAATTTTTCATTTGAATCCCTCAATAACTTAATAAACGTTTTGTATAACTAAACAAGTTAGTTTTATTAAATAGCCATGTGCTATAAGATAGGGCAAGTTATAATAATTCCGTATCATTTAAAAGTAGCTATGTGTTCTTCAGGTACATGACGACTATTTATGACACATTAAATTAACGCTATGTGTACATTTTAAACATTTCGTTTTTTAGAAAACTTACTTTACATGTTATTTTAATGATAATGATCTTAAACTATGTTAATAGATTATTAAATTTATCAGACAAAAATAATTTATCTTATCTCGAATATATCCAGAGTAAACTAGTTTTTTGTTGTTCCTGAAAAGTAGCTCAAATACACATAGCGATTTGTGAACGCACAGCGACGATATATTTACAGTAACTTATAAATACCGAGCAATATTTTACCGGAAACCTCAAATTACCGACGATTTCTTTATCTCTTTTGAAATGTTTTTTTTTGAGATTTAAATATGTTGCTATTGGTATTTAATAAAACATGTCTTTATCTAAAGATTAAGTATATGTTTATCATAAAAATCAATATTAAATAAAGTATATTTTAGATAAAGCATTGGATCGTATCAACCATTAGCATACAGGGCGGCTTACTACGTTGGACAGCGTCTTACCTAAAAAATCATTCACAAGCTGTAGTTATGGCTGGAAAGCGTTCAAACTTCATCTCGTTTCCCACAGGAATTCCTCAGGGAGAAGGGAAGTACAATAATGTCACATATTCCTTAGGCATTGGCGCATAGTATTTACGGTAAAAAAAGTCATTTTTTTATCAACATCGTTGTTCTAATGATGTAAAGAATTGTGATACTCAAACTCAAAACTCAAACTCAAACTCAATCAATAGTTTCGATGGACATGCGGATCATTTACTATCCAAACGCATCCATGCGAATGTTGCACATATTAAAGCATCAGAAAGTGGATTTTAACGTGCACAAACGTAATCGTTTTACTTGGACGTTTCCCAGAATCGTTGAAATATAGTTTTCACTAAATTTAGAACCAAAACGATAGAATATTTTAGGAATTAGAGAATTTTTATATAGTTATACTACATAATTATGCTAGTAAGGCATATACAATAATAATGGAAAACAAATATAGGTACGTAAAGAGAAAAAAAATTAGTTGGAAATGTGTAAAAATAAATGGACAAATGTAAATTAATTTATTAAGGGATATCGAGTGTTACGTGTAAGGTCGACTATATCTCTTAAAATGTTAAACAATGTTAAAACAAAAGCCACGTGCTGATGACGGTTTTGATTTCCGTTAGTTCGAAGCAGGTAGCATGAATAATCTTTTTAGGACTTCTGCAACGCGGTGGGGTTAAACCCACTCTTTAGCCCCGCCCCTAAACTTAGAAGAGCAGCTTGCTCAAGTGATCGACACTGTAGTCATTCACCTTTATACCGTCATCAAGACCGCACACAAGGAAGAAACTATGGCTCTTTGGAGACCTTACCTCGACGATTCGCACATGGATTCATCCAAGACGGTAGAAGAAGAAAGTTCCCATACTTCTCGAGGCAATGCTTCGTCGAGTAACGAACCGTTAATTCTGGCTTCACCACCGAAAAATTCGAATCCTGATTTTGAAGTCTCAGAGCGCAAAAATCTAATGACTATGATGGCCGAGAAGAATTGCGAAAGGACTGTAGATTATCCGAGGATGCGTCGAATAGTTCATTCGATAAATCCAGACGCATCAAACGAAGATTACAAAAAGAAAAGGGAGAAAAATAATATCGCTGCAAAGCAGAGTCGTCATCGAAGAAAGATAAAGGAGATAGATCTCGGCTTGCAAGTTGCAAATTTAAAAAAAGAAATAGCCATTTTGAAGGCTACACTTAATTCACAAATTTGTAGCCAGTGTAAATAAGAGGTGTATAGTGTAATCGATTTAGAGACATTACGTGTAATTTTGTGCAACTTTTATGGTTAAGTTAGATTAAGGTTCATTATTTGTGTGTATATATAGTTTAGTGGTAATGTGTGCAATGTCATTAGGTTGTTAACTTTTATATTTCCAAATTACTGGTATAACAATTATGGAGGACAGTACACAGTTTTACCGTATGATACAATCTCCGTTTCCGGCAAAAGAGATGGACTACGAGCTCCTGTCATTATCGACAACTTCAATGTACTGTTGACTACTTTATTGTATGGTTAAAAATTATGTACCTACTATTGTTATACTAATTTATATTTTATAAGTATTTGTTTATTTTGTAGTTAATAAATAGTTATGTTAAGAGTAGAATAAGTATTTTCTATCACGTTTTGGTTACTTTGGTTGTTTTGTAGTTTTTAAAATATTGTAGGTATAGTTTTTAGCAATGTGCAATTTGCAAGAATCTTGTTAATGTTGTAGGTGATAAAATAGTTGAGATTAGATAGGTGACATGTTTTGTTGATTTTTGTATTGAATGTAATTTATATCGAGCCCCGTATTTCCAGGTTTAATATATTGACAATTACAATTTTGTGCAATATAACAATTTCGTAACAAACAATTTATTTGAGCATTACTATTTTACACACGTTACATTTTGTTTATATTTTAATGTTATATAGATTTAGTTCAGATTTTTTTTTTGTTTCGTGCCCTTTTGTAATGATTTCACAACGATTAAAGTTCATAATATTTTAGCCTACATTATATTAGGTTAATTTTATTTGTAGTTAGCAATATAAAATTGATTTAGTTCTATATTTTTATATACATTTTTGTGTTTTTTTGAGATTATAGGTAGTTTAGTGTTAGTGCTGTATTTCGAATTAAGTTTTGAATTTTAAAATGGTGCTATATAAATTAATACTTTTATAAGAACTTGTTTCAAAGATTTTTCATGTTAATTTTTTTTATTTTAATAGTTGACCAATAGTTGATAAGGGTGGTGAAACTCCCCACTCCATCCCGATGACATGAGCAATAAATTGTGGGTTGATTTATAGATTTACTATAGGTACTAAGTAAAAGTAAAAAAAATATTTAAAGGCTAAGGTAAACCATATATTCTGAATAAAAAATGTAGTGCTATCTGTAGATAATTATTCAGAAAACTACTTAATCGTTGTTAAATGAAACCAAATTCTCTGTAGTGCAGAATGACACTCATATTTTTGTTTTTTTTTATCACATATATCAGCACTTCAGGAAGCTCGAGCTTTAAATGCACAAATCGAAGAGATAAGAGTAAGAACAGATCAGACTCTAGCAATGGCTAGTGCAAATCAATCAGAAGCAGCATTGCTACAAGCTCGCGCTATCCAAAATAATGCAAACTGCATTGGCATCATTGCAGAAGTTATACAAACATATTTTGCAAATTTAGCAAGGGTAATTAATTTTGTGTTTCATAAAAAAATTGGAAGCAGCACTCATTATTTTTTACTGACAGGTAATAATTTAAAATATTAACAAACACAACTGAAATTACTTTTGTTTTTAATTATAAATACTTTTCAGTAAGGGAACAAGCAGGTAATAATTAATATTATTTTAAAGAAATATTAACTAGTTTTATTTTGTTTCTGAATATCTGATGGTGTGCACTTGCAGTGTGTTCAATTATCTACCAAAATAATTACCAAATAATATTATGATCGAATAATAAATGTGGCAATAATCTTACTATTGTTTAATTCTTTCATATTATACTATTTACGCTTATAAAAAATTTAAAAACTGTGTTTAACCTGTTCTTCACAAGCGTTGCACTAGGGTAAAACCGGGATAGACGCCGCAGCGGGATAGATCCAAAAAATGGTTCGGTATCTATACCTACAACAAAGGATAGTTGCCCTGATTTTTCATCTATCCCTATCTTAATATATATGAATTATGTGTGATTTTTCTTATATATTTTTTATGTAAATATTATCAGAATCACGAAATATAAAAGAAAGAAAGGAGTGCGAGCTCGAGTGTGTTCTTGTACCACAGAAAACCTACTGTCAGTTCTCGAAGAAACGGATAAAAAACATGGGAATAAACGAAATAACCCGACGATTTGGGATTCCATCAAGAACATTGTGAAGGCGATATGCTGCTAGAAGTACAAGAAAATTGACAATGGGTACGTATTACGTGAAACCATGTTATTACGTCATGGTAACCATGGCAACCCATTGGCGTAAGGACCCGTATCTATCAAAGAAGAGATACTCTGTGTAACGAGAGGAGATGTGCTGTAACACTGGCAGGTTATAAATATTTCGATTGTCTAGATAAATAAGTTATACAGGACATTACAAGCTTTTATTAATTATTGTCTCTAGTTTCTTAAAGATTTATTAATGTAAGTATTTCTTTTATTAGGTAAACATCGCATTTTAGATTTTGACAACGAGAAAAGGCTTTTAAAGCACATCCTCTAGCTGCAGAATTTCATCAATTGGCTGAAAAACTAGGGTTACAACATTATTTTGACCACGAAAATGAAATGGCTGTAGGTGCATGGTTTAAAAGTTTTTTTAACGAAATCCAAAGCAATCTATCAGACAAGCTGAAGGTTTATCAGTGGCTAGAGCTAAAGGTCTTAATAAGGAAGAAGTAAATAACTTCTATAATCTTTTTATCAAAGTTTTGACCAAAAATAACCTATTGGACAAACCAGAAAGGATTTACAATATGAATGAATCCGGAGTCCAGTTAAATAACAAACCCGTAAACTTTTCCGGGTTTGTTTTTTCATAGCAAAAAAGGTGCAGAACTCGTCAATTCAGTCACATCTGCCAAGAAAGATGAAACCATGACGATTGTTGGCTGTTTCAATGCTATTGGTAAATTCCTTCCACCAGCTGTTATAATAAAAGGTGTGAATAAAAACTGAATTAGAGGAAGGCCTTCCAAAAGGCTCCAAAGCCTTCATGAATAAAAAGTCAACTTATATAAATGCTGAGCTTTACCATAAATGATTAACAGAACATTTCACCCTATGAAGCCCCAAGGTAAGGTTCTGCTGATTTTAGACGGTCACTCGTCACACTCGACTGCACCGGATATGCTGCAAATTGCTGCTGATAATGACATCATTTTATTGTGTTTACCTTATTACACAACTTCAGCCTTACAGCCTTTAGATAGATCAGTCTTTGGGCCATTTAAAACTTATGACAGCCAAGAAACTAATCAATTTATGCGTTTGAATCCAAATAAAAAGATCAGTTGTTACAACACTGGAAAGCTCATATATAATGCTTGGATTCTCACTGCTACCCTTGAAAATGCTCTTAGCGGCTTCAGAGGTAGTGGAATTTACCCAGTTGACTCAAATGCTTTGCCAGATAAAACATTTCTAATATCGGATACTGCACTGGGTAGTGAAAATCCTGAAACTTCTCGTGCGACTGAAGTTATAAGACTAACGTCAACAAACCAGCCTGCTATCCAATCAGAGTTCGCCAATGCCTCTGAAAATATAGTATTTCGTGAATCTTTTGCAATCGACCACCACCAAAATAAGACACCACCAAATCCGACTCAAATTGACAGAAAATCACCTAGTCTGAGATTTTAGAAGATATTAGTGTAGTTGACATTGGTGATGCTAAAATTGCAGAGATTTTAAGAAGCTATACTATAGAACAAGAAACACCTTCAAAAATTCTTTTTCAAAACAAACGAAATCGTAAGAGGGGTGTTAGGGTGAAAAAAAGAAAAACAAATAATAACTTAGTTGGACAAGAAAAACAAGACTGACACTAACAAAGTATATCTAATTTACCTAGCCATAAAATTAAAGGAAAGAAAACAAAAGATTTGCCCACAAAGAAAACTAAGAAAGATGCACAGGATAAAGATAATTGTATCGAATGTTTTAAAAAATATAAAAATACGAAGTCGTTATCCAACTGAATTCAATGTGTAATGTGTCAGAACTGGCTACATGAAACTTGTACACTTTTCAAAAATTATTGCTCAAAATGTGGAAAGTCAAAAGCACTGTCCGGCTAAACTTCTATTAAATTGAATAAAAGTTGGATTGTGCATTTTGATTATTAATATTTTATAAAAACAATTTAGAATTTATATTATTGTTAAAAAAAGCTTGTAAAATTTAATTATACATAAAAATGATTATGCATGTTTATACTTTAGTTTAACAACCTTTTTAAAAATTAATATTATTAATTGGTTATTTCTGTGATATAAGTATTATCTTCTTATGATAGTTATAAAAAAATTATAGAAACAAAGTCTTTTTCATTATTATTATGTCGTATGTTTTTTGGAGACAAAAAACATACGACGTAAAAAAGGTATAAAGGGCATCTTATCCTACTCAGCATTTTAATGGTGGGGCAACTATCCATATAGGTAGGCATATGTCCTCAAAAAGAATGGTCTACGAAAATATAATTTCTGCGAAATCTGTATTTGATAGGTTTAAAAAAAAACAACATAAACGATTCGTTTAACTATATTAAAAGAAATAATTCGTTAGAAATTAATATATTATAAAAGAGGTGACTAATTCAAGAAGTGGGGCATCTATGTTGGTTTTACCCTAGATTTGTTTGGTATCTACGCCCTTGCTGCAACAAATCTGAAGCATGTCTTCTTTGACTTGCTCTAGGTATACGTCTGGCGTCTAAATGTGTATTGTTTATTCTTTTATTGAGTTCTCTTTGTAGAGTCTAGACATATGTAATGGTACACTACAGTGCAGCATTTATTATTTTCGCTACGAATTTAGGTATGTAATGTAATTGTAATGTAATTCTAAAATGTAATGTAATTTTCTGTCAATTAATAAACATCTGTAATTAAAAATAAATGATAAACCAACTATTGTAGGTATTCAAATTATGAGGAATCTAAACGAGAAATATATACATTCTTTCCTAAATCTTGCTTTCCAAATTCCGATG